AGCTGGGTAGAGCCGTTGCCTGGGCTTGTCAGATCTGGAGCGCGGATCCAGATTCCTTTTGCCTAATAGTCAGGGTGGTGTAACAGCTGTTTTGTTGACTCTGCTTCATCTGGCGTGTAGGTCTCGCCGATCCTGGTGTGTTGCTTCCTCCACTTCCAACGCTGAAATGCCGCCACTTGTGTCAGGGTTAAATTCCCCCCACAAACCAGGCCGCGTTAGTGTGGTCCTGGTTCAGGACTCCCTGCTGTGGGTGGATGCGGGGGGCAGATGTGCATTGTCTCAGTGAGGGGGGGGCTAGAGCGGTCAGAGATGCTGGCGGGAGTTGCATCCCACTGACTCAGAAGCTCAAGAGATGTGAACCTTCCCACGTGGCCCTGAGCTTTGAGCAATGTGATTCTCTCCATGCTGGTCAGAAGCAAAGCAGCGTTGTTTCTGAGCAGGAGCTGTGCACATCTCAAGGCGCCTGTCCCACAGAGTTGTCGTCCTGCAGAGGAACACGTGCCGCAGCCTCTTTTCTCCCAGTCGCTTGGCTGAGGAGGGAGACTGCCGTCAGTGCTGCTAGCGCCAGGAGGAGCGCGAAGCATCAGCCGTAGTGTCTGTCATGCACTGGAATCCCCTCTCCCGACAATGCCAAATGCCTGCTGTGGGGTGTAGAACCAAGCAGTTACGGATGGTGGATGCCATGAACGGGGAAGACCATCTCAGCCCAGGCTGTTTGAGTGGAGAGGCCTGTCCTAGCTCTTGAGCCCAGTCTGAGCTCCTGGTACCAGAGCACACTGGCTCTACCAGGGCTGTGGTATTAATAGCATCTCCTGTATCACCATCTTCCCATGGGACCTCTGAAGGGACGTCCCTCGGCGCTCTTAACAGCGCGCTCCTCCCCGCTGAGAGAAGCCAGCTGCCCACTGCGGAAAGCTCAGGGCCATGTGTGCCTCGCATCCCTTGAACATCCCGGTCAGGGTTCTGCTGGTTTGTCTCCAAGAATGAGGTTCTCCTGAGTCAAGACGTGGAGAGAGAGGTTCTTGAGCAGCAAATGGAATTTCCCCAAACAATGCCCGTTCGCCGGACACCCTTCTTCCTTCCTTGTTCGTTGTGCTGGTCTGTTGAGGTTCTTCAGGGCCGAGGCTGACCTCTGTCCATGCTGCAAAACGAGCAGAGGGTGGAATTCCAGTTTTTGCTACTTAACCTCCCTGTCACCCCAGGGCTGGATGGTAGGATCTGATAATCCTTTCATTTCCTCTTAGAAGGGTCTCCACTCGGGGCAACTTCTGCTGGGCCAGGGTAGATGACTTGTATCCTATTGGCAGAATAGTGGTGAGTGTCCTGGCGTCGCGTCTGGAACCCAGGGACATGAGCTGTGGGGTTGTGCTAGGGAATGCTTGGGCTGGGCTGATAGTTGCCCACATCCTGGGAGTGACCCAGTGGCCTCTGCACAGCCGGGAAAGCCCACGTGTGTCTCAAGGCATCTGTCCCAGAGTAGAACATGCCTCTTGTTCCCCGTTCGCTTGGCTGGCATGTGGCTCGTGGCCGGGCAAGGCGCTGTGGCAGTTGGGAGAGGTGGAAGGATTGGGACAAGGTATGTTAAGAAGCATGTAATTCGTTAATTGTGCAGTCAACAAAAATTTTGTCGACTACGTGATTAATCGATAAGGGGGAGCACTGCAAGCATTCAGTCCCAGCTTGCGCCAGGTCCCAGGAGCTACCCCGCTGCAGCTCTGCAAGGTTATTGCCCCTAAATGACTTTTCCTGCAGAGCTGCAGCCGGGGTGGTTCCTGGGACCCGGCGCGAGCTGAGCCTGAGCCAGGCTGCCTGCCCCCTGGCTCCTAAAATACTTTGACTGCAGAGCCACAGCAGGGATAGCTCCCAGCACCAGTCCGAACTGAGGCAGGCCCCTGCTTGGATCCACTAAAAAATTTACTGGCGGGGGGAAGCTTTTGCTCATTGGTTAATCGTTGAATCGGCTACAACTATTACATCCCTAATCGGGACATTTCATGCCTCAGCCGTGGGCCACTTCCCGCAGCCAGAGAGGGAAAAATGTCCTCATGGTGCTTCTTCAGGGGCTGGGCAAGCAAGCCCTGACTTCCTGCTTACAGAATAAGGATGTGAATGGTTGTCCAGTAAGCATCACCTTTACCGGGTGATGCTTGCTGGTACCGGTTAACCAGGGAGCAGCCCTTCAGGGATTGGGAGCTCTCACTCACACCCCCACCCCTCCCCAGCACAGGAGTGGGACCAGGAGCGCTGCCCCGTGCATGTGGGGGAAGCATCTGAGAGCAGGAGCCAGTTGCCCAGTGCACGGGCAGGGAGGGAGGCAGGAGCAGGATCACATTTAATCAGTTAACTAGGATTTTACATCCCTGATTGAGAGGATGTTTGGATAGCGCTGCCCAAGCTGAGCTCGCTCGCTGATTAGACCCTGTGCAAAGGCCTGGGGACTGAGCCATGGTGTGGGGCTCCCCATGCTGGGTATCACTATGTCAAGCCACAGGGGCAGGGCCCAACAGCGGTGCAGATTCACTTCACGACAAAGTCGATTAGAGATAGACAGTCCAGAGAAGAGCAACAAGAATGATTAAAGGTCTAGAGAACATGATCTATGAAGGAAGATTGGAAGAACTGGGCTTGTTTAGTTTGGAAAAGAGAAGACTGAGGGGACATGATAGCGGTTTTCAGGTATCTAAACGGGTGTCACAAAGAGGAGGGAGAAAAATTGATCTTCCTGGCCTCTGAGGATAGAACAAGAAGCAATGGGCTTAGACTAAAGCAAGGGAGGTGTAGGCTGGACATTAGGAAAAAGTTTGTAACTGTCACGGTAGTTAAACACTGGAATAAATTGCCTAGGGAGGTTGTGGAATCTCCATCTCGAGATATTTCAGAGTAGGTTAAATAAATGTTTATCAGGGCTGGTCTAGACAGTACTGGGTCCTGCCATGAGGGCAGGGGACTGGACTCGATGACCTCTCGAGGTCCCTTCCAGTCTTAGTATTCTGTGATTTTATTAATCTCACTACGTCACTATTATTACAGGCTTAATACTGCCAGATGGTTAAACAGCTAGTGCAAAGTAATACAACAATCTGCGTAGGCAAAGCAATGCATATAAGAGTAACAGGCACTTGGAAATGCTTACACCCGTTTAGGTCTGTGGGGAGTCCCGTTCTGGTCACTGCGCACCCAGCCGCAGTGAACATGCCTCCACCTAGGGGGATTCAGGACACCCTTCCAGGTCTAGGTCCCTATTGAGACTCTGAGGGGCAGGACTCCCCGTGATCTTATACTACAGTTGTTTACCGGGTGTGCATGTACCTGGCTCAACACCATTCTTATCACTCTTATGGGCTGAGACCGAGGTCAAACTTGTTTACCGCTTCGTAGTTTCCCAGCTCAAGGCTCAGGTCAAAGCTGATAGAGCCCAGCTGCTGTGTGTGGGCTTGCAGGGTGCCAGGCTATGCTGAGCTGGGTACAGCAGGGATGGGAACTTCCATCCCAGGCCTGCTAAGGTGCAGGACCCACATATGACTTTCATGTGACATACCATGCTAGAGGGGATGCCACTGGGGGCCTGGGATTTGTAGGCCTCCTGGGAAGTGTGAGAGACAGGAGTTGGAGGGGGCGATTGGCCTAAAGGACCTTCTGGCTAAAGGCCACAAGTTGGGGGCAAAGAGGAGGTAGAGGGGAATGGGGACATGTGATCTGGGTGGAGGAATGACTCTTCTCTCTCCCTGTTGGCAGGGGGCTCTGCCCTGAAGAGGGGGGCAGAGAGCAGTGAGGGGTTTGCCAAGCGCGGGGGCAGCCTGTGAGGCAGAAGCTGTCTGTGGGGAGGGCGTGGGGCGGGCACAGGCTCACACGGCGTTCGGAAGGGGTGTTTCTTTGCCCTGAATGTGCTTTGCGCCTTCGGGAAAGGCCATGGGTTTGGGGCGCTCGTGCTGGGTAACTGGCAGTGGGAGCTAGGGCTGTTTGGAGTGAAGACCCTTTTGCCAAGCGCGGGGGCAGCCTGTGAGGCAGAAGCTGTCTGTGGGGAGGGCGTGGGGCGGGCACAGGCTCACACGGCGTTCGGAAGGGGTGTTTCTTTGCCCTGAATGTGCTTTGCGCCTTCGGGAAAGGCCATGGGTTTGGGGCGCTCGTGCTGGGTAACTGGCAGTGGGAGCTAGGGCTGTTTGGAGTGAAGACCCTTTTCGCTAGGCAGCCTGGGAGCGAGCTTGTCTGCTGGTTACGGT